GCAAAATTTCAAAATTGAGCAAACTATATGAATATGGGTATCAAAATTCGCCAAATTTCATGAAAAATCCAAATTTCACCATCCCATATCATCAGGATAGCTAGAACTCTCAAATCGTGAATGCCACGTGGCAAAACTTTAAAATTGAGCAAACTATATGAATATGGGTATCAAAATTCGCCAAATTTCATGAAAAATCCAAATTTCACCATCCCATATCATCAGGATAGCTAGAACTCTCAAATCGTGAATGCCACGTGGCAAAACTTTAAAATTGAGCAAACTATATCAATATGGGTATCAAAATTCGCCAAATTTCATGAAAAATCCAAATTTCACCATCCCATATCATCAGGATAGCTAGAACTCTCAAATCGTAAGTGCCACGTGGCAAAATTTCAAAATTGAGCAAACTATATGAATATGGGTATCAAAAATCTCCAAATTTCATGAAAAATTCAAATTTCACTATCTCATATCATGAGAATAGCTAGAACTCTCAAATCGTGAATGCCACGTGGCAAAATTTCAAAATTGAGCAAACTATATGAATATGGGTATCAAAAATCTCCAAATTTCATGAAAAATCCAAATTTCACAATCTCATATCATCAGGATAGCTAGAACTCTCAAATCGTAAGTGCCACGTGGCAAAATTTCAAATTTGAGCAAACTATATGAATATGGGTATCAAAAATCTCCAAATTTCGTGAAAAATTCAAATTTCACAATCTCATATCATGAGAATAGCTAGAACTCTCAAATCGTGAATGCCGCGTGGCAAAATTTCAAAATTGAGCAAACTATATGAATATGGGTATCAAAAATCTCCAAATTTCATGAAAAATTCAAATTTCACCATCCCATATCATCAGGATAGCTAGAACTCTCAAATCGTGAATGCCACGTGGCAAAATTTCAAAATTGAGCAAACTATATGAATATGGGTATCAAAAATCGCCAAATTTCATGAAAAATCCAAATTTCACCATCCCATATCATCAGGATAGCTAGAACTCTCAAATCGTAAGTGCCACGTGGCAAAATTTCAAAATTGAGCAAACTATATGAATATGGGTATCAAAAATCTCCAAATTTCATGAAAAATCCAAATTTCACAATCTCATATCATCAGGATAGCTAGAACTCTCAAATCGTAAGTGCCACGTGGCAAAATTTTAAACTTGAGCAAACTATATGAATATGGGTATCAAAAATCTCCAAATTTCATGAAAAATCCAAATTTCACCATCCCATATCATCAGGATAGCTAGAACTCTCAAATCGTAAGTGCCTCGTGGCAAAATTTCAAAATTGAGCAAACTATATGAATATGGGTATCAAAATTCGCCAAATTTCATGAAAAATCCAAATTTCACCATCCCATATCATCAGGATAGCTAGAACTCTCAAATCGTGAATGCCACGTGGCAAAACTTTAAAATTGAGCAAACTATATCAATATGGGTATCAAAATTCGCCAAATTTCATGAAAAATCCAAATTTCACCATCCCATATCATCAGGATAGCTAGAACTCTCAAATCGTGAATGCCACGTGGCAAAATTTCAAAATTGAGCAAACTATATGAATATGGGTATCAAAATTCGCCAAATTTCATGAAAAATCCAAATTTCACCATCCCATATCATCAGGATAGCTAGAACTCTCAAATCGTGAATGCCACGTGGCTAAATTTCAAAATTGAGCAAACTATATCAATATGGGTATCAAAATTCGCCAAATGTCATGAAAAATCCAAATTTCACCATCCCATATCATCAGGATAGCTAGAACTCTCAAATCGTGAATGCCACGTGGCAAAATTTCAAAATTGAGCAAACTATATGAATATGGGTATCAAAATTCGCCAAATTTCATGAAAAATCCAAATTTCACCATCCCATATCATCAGGATAGCTAGAACTCTCAAATCGTGAATGCCACGTGGCAAAACTTTAAAATTGAGCAAACTATATGAATATGGGTATCAAAATTCGCCAAATTTCATGAAAAATCCAAATTTCACCATCCCATATCATCAGGATAGCTAGAACTCTCAAATCGTGAATGCCACGTGGCAAAACTTTAAAATTGAGCAAACTATATCAATATGGGTATCAAAATTCGCCAAATTTCATGAAAAATCCAAATTTCACCATCCCATATCATCAGGATAGCTAGAACTCTCAAATCGTAAGTGCCACGTGGCAAAATTTCAAAATTGAGCAAACTATATGAATATGGGTATCAAAAATCTCCAAATTTCATGAAAAATTCAAATTTCACTATCTCATATCATGAGAATAGCTAGAACTCTCAAATCGTGAATGCCACGTGGCAAAATTTCAAAATTGAGCAAACTATATGAATATGGGTATCAAAAATCGCCAAATTTCATGAAAAATCCAAATTTCACCATCCCATATCATCAGGATAGCTAGAACTCTCAAATCGTGAATGCCACGTGGCAAAACTTTAAAATTGAGCAAACTATATGAATATGGGTATCAAAATTCGCCAAATTTCATGAAAAATCCAAATTTCACCATCCCATATCATCAGGATAGCTAGAACTCTCAAATCGTGAATGCCACGTGGCAAAACTTTAAAATTGAGCAAACTATATCAATATGGGTATCAAAATTCGCCAAATTTCATGAAAAATCCAAATTTCACCATCCCATATCATCAGGATAGCTAGAACTCTCAAAATCGTAAGTGCCACGTGGCAAAATTTCAAAATTGAGCAAACTATATGAATATGGGTATCAAAAATCTCCAAATTTCATGAAAAATTCAAATTTCACTATCTCATATCATGAGAATAGCTAGAACTCTCAAATCGTGAATGCCACGTGGCAAAATTTCAAAATTGAGCAAACTATATGAATATGGGTATCAAAAATCGCCAAATTTCATGAAAAATCCAAATTTCACCATCCCATATCATCAGGATAGCTAGAACTCTCAAATCGTGAATGCCACGTGGCAAAACTTTAAAATTGAGCAAACTATATCAATATGGGTATCAAAATTCGCCAAATTTCATGAAAAATCCAAATTTCACCATCCCATATCATCAGGATAGCTAGAACTCTCAAATCGTAAGTGCCACGTGGCAAAATTTCAAATTTGAGCAAACTATATGAATATGGGTATCAAAAATCTCCAAATTTCATGAAAAATCCAAATTTCACCATCCCATATCATCAGGATAGCTAGAACTCTCAAATCGTAAGTGCCACGTGGCAAAACTTTAAAATTGAGCAAACTATATGAATATGGGTATCAAAATTCGCCAAATTTCATGAAAAATCCAAATTTCACCATCCCATATCATCAGGATAGCTAGAACTCTCAAATCGTGAATGCCACGTGGCAAAACTTTAAAATTGAGCAAACTATATCAATATGGGTATCAAAATTCGCCAAATTTCATGAAAAATCCAAATTTCACCATCCCATATCATCAGGATAGCTAGAACTCTCAAATCGTAAGTGCCACGTGGCAAAATTTCAAAATTGAGCAAACTATATGAATATGGGTATCAAAAATCTCCAAATTTCATGAAAAATTCAAATTTCACTATCTCATATCATGAGAATAGCTAGAACTCTCAAATCGTGAATGCCACGTGGCAAAATTTCAAAATTGAGCAAACTATATGAATATGGGTATCAAAAATCGCCAAATTTCATGAAAAATCCAAATTTCACCATCCCATATCATCAGGATAGCTAGAACTCTCAAATCGTAAGTGCCACGTGGCAAAATTTCAAAATTGAGCAAACTATATGAATATGGGTATCAAAAATCTCCAAATTTCATGAAAAATCCAAATTTCACCATCCCATATCATCAGGATAGCTAGAACTCTCAAATCGTAAGTGCCACGTGGCAAAACTTTAAAATTGAGCAAACTATATGAATATGGGTATCAAAATTCGCCAAATTTCATGAAAAATCCAAATTTCACCATCCCATATCATCAGGATAGCTAGAACTCTCAAATCGTAAGTGCCACGTGGCAAAATTTCAAAATTGAGCAAACTATATGAATATGGGTATCAAAAATCTCCAAATTTCATGAAAAATCCAAATTTCACAATCTCATATCATCAGGATAGCTAGAACTCTCAAATCGTAAGTGCCACGTGGCAAAATTTTAAAATTGAGCAAACTATATGAATAGTTTCTAAAAAGTTTAGAAAAAAAAAGTTCAGAAAAAGTTTAGAAAAAGTTTGGAAAAAGTTTGAAAAAAAAGTTTAGAAAAAGTTTGGAAAAAGTTTGAAAAAAAAGTTTGGAAAAAGTTCGAAAAAAGTTTGAAAAACAAAGTTTGGAAAAAGTTTAGAAAAAGTTTGGAAAAAGTTTGAAAAAAGTTTGAAAAAAATCCTGATCTTCCGAGGGTCCTACTGAAGATCAGGATGATTTTAAATCACAGATCTTGATGGCCTTGAAGTCCAAGGTGACCCAAGACAAACTTCAGAAATTTTTGTGATTTTTCGAATATGTTCAGAAGTTTTCCCTGAATCCTGATCTTCCGAGGGTCCTACTGAAGATCAGGATGATTTTAAATCACAGATCTTGATGGCTTTGAAGTCCAAGGTGACTCAAGACAAACTTCAGAAATTTTTGTGATTTTTCAAAAATGTTCAGAAGTTTTCCCTGAATCCTGATCTTCCGAGGGTCCTACTGAAGATCAGGATGATTTTAAATCACAGATCTTGATGGCTTTGAAGTCCAAGACTTCAGTAAAATTTTCTGAAAGTTTGAGAAGATTTCAAAAATGATTCAAAAATGGATGGAAAAACATTGTTCGAACACATTTTGATTCACCAAGTTTTTCATTTCAAGAAAAAGCTACACAGTAATACACACACACAAAAGTACACATAAGTGCACACACAATGACAAAACACAAGTACACACACACAAAAGTACACATAAGTGCACACACAATGACAAAACACAAGTACAAAATAATTGGAAAAGATGATCAATGGCGAGGAGTTGACGATGAAGATTTGGCAACCATTTGCGACTTGTCCGAACCCTGGAAAAATGCATTTCATTCTGATAAACTAAATATTATTTAAAACTCACCGATTTTTTCACTTGAACCGTGTTCTCCGGGACCTCACAATTTACCTCTTCGTCAGAAGCAACCGGAGACAAATCGTCGATATGATTGAACTCCTGGCGATGTTTTGAGCGTGGTTCAACATGTTCTTCCACTTCTTCGTGATCCGACGAAGATTTTTCCGTGTCAGATGGCGGAAATACGAAAAACTTCTTCTTTCGCGCGGCTTTCATCGAGTCCTGTGGTTGATCTTTCATATCATTCTTGGTTTCGTCCTTATCATTTCCAGATTCTTTCGACTTGCACGATTCATCAATTTTCGGACTATCATCATGAACATTATCGGCTTTCGCCGATTTCATTTCCACCACCAATTGTCGACGCTCCTTTTTCGCCTTTTTTCTCTCCGCCTTTTCTTCTTTTGCCGCTTTCTTTTTCGCTGCTTGCTCTTCCAAACTCAATCGATTGAGTTTTTTGACAGTAGTTGGGACCCAGTCCGCCACCATGCCTGGATACATCCAACGACCCGGTCCATTATCCTTTTCCTTTGCCACACCATGTTTCGCGCGGCGCGCGTCCAACGCAGATCGTGTGAGAGCCGGATCGGTCTGAAAAACACAATTATTAGGGCTAGGGAACTAGATTTTGAGACATTTTCATGAGCATTTTCAGCCTAGAAGAAGCTGAAAATAGGCTGAAAATCGAAAATTTTGAGTTTCAGATGCTTTTCTCAAATCCCCCAAGCATTTCTGAAAATTTGAGCCCCACATCAAAATTTTCGATTTTCAGCCTATTTTCAGCTTCTCCTAGGATGAAATTGCTGAAATTTTGAGTTTCAGATGCTTTTCTCAACTCCCCCAAGCATTTCTGACAATTTGAGCCCCACATCAAAATTTTCGATTTTCAGCTGATTTTCAGCCAATTTTCAGCTTCTCCTAGGCTGAAAATGCTGAAATTTTGAGTTTCAGATGCTTTTCTCAACTCCCCCAAGCATTTCTGAACATTTGAGCCCCACATCAAAGTTTTCGATTTTCAGCTCATTTTCAGCCTATTTTCAGCTTCTCCTAGGATGAAAACGCTGAAATTTTGAGTTTCAGATGCTTTTCTCAACTCCCCCAAGCATTTCTGACAATTTGAGCCCCACATCAAAATTTTCGATTTTCAGCTGATTTTCAGCCAATTTTCAGCTTCTCCTAGGCTGAAAATGCTGAAATTTTGAGTTTCAGATGCTTTTCTCAACTCCCCCAAGCATTTCTGACAATTTGAGCCCCACATCAAAATTTTCGATTTTCAGCTGATTTTCAGCCAATTTTCAGCTTCTCCTAGGCTGAAAATGCTGAAATTTTGAGTTTCAGATGCTTTTCTCAACTCCCCCAAGCATTTCTGAACATTTGAGCCCCACATCAAAGTTTTCGATTTTCAGCTCATTTTCAGCCTATTTTCAGCTTCTCCTAGGATGAAATTGCTGAAATTTTGAGTTTCAGATGCTTTTCTCAACTCCCCCAAGCATTTCTGACAATTTGAGCCCCACATCAAAATTTTCGATTTTCAGCTGATTTTCAGCCAATTTTCAGCTTCTCCTAGGCTGAAAATGCTGAAATTTTGAGTTTCAGATGCTTTTCTCAACTCCCCCAAGCATTTCTGAAAATTTGAGCCCCACATCAAAATTTTCGATTTTCAGCTCATTTTCAGCCAATTTTCAGCTTCTCCTAGGCTGAAAATGCTGAAATTTTGAGTTTCAGATGCTTTTCTCAACTCCCCCAAGCATTTCTGAAAATTTGAGCCGCACATCAAAGTTTTCGATTTTCAGCTCATTTTCAGCCAATTTTCAGCTTCTCCTAGGCTGAAAATGCTGAAATTTTGAGTTTCAGATGCTTTTCTCAACTCCCCCAAGCATTTCTGAAAATTTGAGCCCCACATCAAAATTTTCGATTTTCAGCTCATTTTCAGCCAATTTTCAGCTTCTCCTAGGCTGAAAATGCTGAAATTTTGAGTTTCAGATGCTTTTCTCAACTCCCCCAAGCATTTCTGAAAATTTGAGCCCCACATCAAAGTTTTCGATTTTCAGCTCATTTTCAGCCAATTTTCAGCTTCTCCTAGGCTGAAAACGCTGAAATTTTGAGTTTCAGATGCTTTTCTCAACTCCCCCAAGCATTTCTGACAATTTGAGCCCCACATCAAAATTTTCGATTTTCAGCTCATTTTCAGCCAATTTTCAGCTTCTCCTAGGCTGAAAATGCTGAAATTTTGAGTTTCAGATGCTTTTCTCAACTCCCCCAAGCATTTCTGACAATTTGAGCCCCACATCAAAATTTTCGATTTTCAGCTCATTTTCAGCCAATTTTCAGCTTCTCCTAGGCTGAAAACGCTGAAATTTTGAGTTTCAGATGCTTTTCTCAACTCCCCCAAGCATTTCTGACAATTTGAGCCCCACATCAAAATTTTCGATTTTCAGCTCATTTTCAGCCAATTTTCAGCTTCTCCTAGGCTGAAAATGCTGAAATTTTGAGTTTCAGATGCTTTTCTCAACTCCCCCAAGCATTTCTGAAAATTTGAGCCCCACATCAAAGTTTTCGATTTTCAGCTCATTTTCAGCCAATTTTCAGCTTCTCCTAGGCTGAAAACGCTGAAATTTTGAGTTTACCCCTCCTTTAAGGCTACGGAACTAAATTTTGAGACATTTTCATGATTTTTTTTTTGAAAAATTCCGAAATTTTTCTAATAGAAAATAAACTAACTTGAACAACGGTTTTCGATGATTTCGCTGACTTTCCGGGTTTTGTTGCTGTTGTTTTGACAGAATTTCCAGATTTTTGAGACATTTTGAGCAATTGTAGAAGTGTGGGAGCCAAAGAATTGAGCAATGGGCTAAGAATTGATGAGTTCGCCTGAAAAACACAATTTTTCATCAAAAAATGGACTTTAAACGCGATTTTCAGCTTTTTGAAAGAAGTTAGACGCGCGGAAAGTGCGAAAATCGGAAAGAGCATGAAAAAATGAAGCGAACTGTATATTTTTTGATAGCTAAAGATGACTAGAAGTTGGAAAAACTCACCGAAACTCGAGAACACGACCAAAAAGAATGACCGAGATGACGTTTTTTTGAGGAAGGATGACGTTTTCTTCGAAAACGATGACGCGAAAAAATAAGCCAATCAGAGAAATGGGCCAATCAGCGTTTTTTGGCTTTAAATTTGAGTTTTGTAGGGGAAATTGAAAAGGATTTTTTGAAGAAAGAATTAGGAGTACGGTAGGATTCAAGATCTGTGATTTAAAATCATCCTGATCTTCAGTAGGACCCTCGGAAGATCAGGATTCAGGGCAAACTTCTGAACATTTTTAAAAAATCACAAAAATTTCTGAAGTTTGTCTTGGGTCACCTTGGAATTCAAGGCCATCAAGATCTGTGATTTAAAATCATCCTGATCTTCAGTAGGACCCTCGGAAGATCAGGATTCAGGGCAAACTTCTGAACATTTTTGAAAAATCACAAAAATTTCTGAAGTTTGTCTTGGGTCACCTTGGACTTCAAGGCCATCAAGATCTGTGATTTTAAATCATGCTGAACTTCAGTAGGACCCTCGGAAGATCAGGATTCAGGGCAAACTTCTGAACATTTTTAAAAAATCACAAAAATTTCTGAAGTTTGTCTTGGGTCACCTTGGACTTCAAGGCCATCAAGATCTGTGATTTAAGATCATCCTGATCTTCAGTAGGACCCTCGGAAGATCAGGATTCAGGGCAAACTTCTGAACATTTTTAAAAAATCACAAAAATTTCTGAAGTTTGTCTTGGGTCACCTTGGACTTCAAGGCCATCAAGATATGTGATTTAAAATCATCCTGATCTTCAGTAGGACCCTCGGAAGATCAGGATTCAGGGCAAACTTCTAAACATATTCGAAAAATCACAAAAATTTCTGAAGTTTGTCTTGGGTCACCTTGGACTTCAAGGCCATCAAGATCTGTGATTTAAAATCATCCTGATCTTCAGTAGGACCCTCGGAAGATCAGGATTCAGGGCAAACTTCTGAACATTTTTAAAAAATCACAAAAATTTCTGAAGTTTGTCTTGGGTCACCTTGGACTTCAAGGCCATCAAGATCTGTGATTTAAGATCATCCTGATCTTCAGTAGGACCCTCGGAAGATCAGGATTCAGGGCAAACTTCTGAACATTTTTAAAAAATCACAAAAATTTCTGAAGTTTGTCTTGGGTCACCTTGGACTTCAAGGCCATCAAGATCTGTGATTTAAGATCATCCTGATCTTCAGTAGGACCCTCGGAAGATCAGGATTCAGGGCAAACTTCTGAACATTTTTGAAAAATCACAAAAATTTCTGAAGTTTGTCTTGGGTCACCTTGGACTTCAAGGCCATCAAGATCTGTGATTTTAAATCATGCTGAACTTCAGTAGGACCCTCGGAAGATCAGGATTCAGGGCAAACTTCTGAACATTTTTAAAAAATCACAAAAATTTCTGAAGTTTGTCTTGGGTCACCTTGGACTTCAAGGCCATCAAGATCTGTGATTTAAGATCATCCTGATCTTCAGTAGGACCCTCGGAAGATCAGGATTCAGGGCAAACTTCTGAACATTTTTGAAAAATCACAAAAATTTCTGAAGTTTGTCTTGGGTCACCTTGGACTTCAAGGCCATCAAGATCTGTGATTTTAAATCATGCTGAACTTCAGTAGGACCCTCGGAAGATCAGGATTCAGGGCAAACTTCTGAACATTTTTAAAAAATCACAAAAATTTCTGAAGTTTGTCTTGGGTCACCTTGGACTTCAAGGCCATCAAGATATGTGATTTAAAATCATCCTGATCTTCAGTAGGACCCTCGGAAGATCAGGATTCAGGGCAAACTTCTAAACATATTCGAAAAATCACAAAAATTTCTGAAGTTTGTCTTGGGTCACCTTGGACTTCAAGGCCATCAAGATCTGTGATTTAAAGCCATCCTGATCTTCAGTAGGACCCTCGGAAGATCAGGATTCAGGGCAAACTTCTGAACATTTTTAAAAAATCACAAAAATTTCTGAAGTTTGTCTTGGGTCACCTTGGACTTCAAGGCCATCAAGATATGTGATTTAAAATCATCCTGATCTTCAGTAGGACCCTCGGAAGATCAGGATTCAGGGCAAACTTCTAAACATATTCGAAAAATCACAAAAATTTCTGAAGTTTGTCTTGGGTCACCTTGGACTTCAAGGCCATCAAGATCTGTGATTTAAAATCATCCTGATCTTCAGTAGGACCCTCGGAAGATCAGGATTCAGGGCAAACTTCTGAACATTTTTAAAAAATCACAAAAATTTCTGAAGTTTGTCTTGGGTCACCTTGGAATTCAAGGCCGTCAAGATCTGTGATTTAAAATCATCCTGATCTTCAGTAGGACCCTCGGAAGATCAGGATTCAGGGCAAACTTCTGAACATTTTTGAAAAATCACAAAAATTTCTGAAGTTTGTCTTGGGTCACCTTGGACTTCAAGGCCATCAAGATCTGTGATTTAAAATCATCCTGATCTTCAGTAGGACCCTCGGAAGATCAGGATTCAGGGCAAACTTCTGAACATTTTTAAAAAATCACAAAAATTTCTGAAGTTTGTCTTGGGTCACCTTGGACTTCAAGGCCATCAAGATCTGTGATTTAAGATCATCCTGATCTTCAGTAGGACCCTCGGAAGATCAGGATTCAGGGCAAACTTCTGAACATTTTTGAAAAATCACAAAAATTTCTGAAGTTTGTCTTGGGTCACCTTGGACTTCAAGGCCATCAAGATCTGTGATTTTAAATCATGCTGAACTTCAGTAGGACCCTCGGAAGATCAGGATTCAGGGCAAACTTCTGAACATTTTTAAAAAATCACAAAAATTTCTGAAGTTTGTCTTGGGTCACCTTGGACTTCAAGGCCATCAAGATCTGTGATTTAAGATCATCCTGATCTTCAGTAGGACCCTCGGAAGATCAGGATTCAGGGCAAACTTCTGAACATTTTTGAAAAATCACAAAAATTTCTGAAGTTTGTCTTGGGTCACCTTGGACTTCAAGGCCATCAAGATCTGTGATTTTAAATCATGCTGAACTTCAGTAGGACCCTCGGAAGATCAGGATTCAGGGCAAACTTCTGAACATTTTTAAAAAATCACAAAAATTTCTGAAGTTTGTCTTGGGTCACCTTGGACTTCAAGGCCATCAAGATATGTGATTTAAAATCATCCTGATCTTCAGTAGGACCCTCGGAAGATCAGGATTCAGGGCAAACTTCTAAACATATTCGAAAAATCACAAAAATTTCTGAAGTTTGTCTTGGGTCACCTTGGACTTCAAGGCCATCAAGATCTGTGATTTAAAGCCATCCTGATCTTCAGTAGGACCCTCGGAAGATCAGGATTCAGGGCAAACTTCTGAACATTTTTAAAAAATCACAAAAATTTCTGAAGTTTGTCTTGGGTCACCTTGGACTTCAAGGCCATCAAGATATGTGATTTAAAATCATCCTGATCTTCAGTAGGACCCTCGGAAGATCAGGATTCAGGGCAAACTTCTAAACATATTCGAAAAATCACAAAAATTTCTGAAGTTTGTCTTGGGTCACCTTGGACTTCAAGGCCATCAAGATCTGTGATTTAAAATCATCCTGATCTTCAGTAGGACCCTCGGAAGATCAGGATTCAGAGCAAACTTCTAAACATATTCGAAAAATCACAAAAATTTCTGAAGTTTGTCTTTGGTCACCTTGGACTTCAAGGCCATCAAGATATGTGATTTAAAATCATCCTGATCTTCAGTAGGACCCTCGGAAGATCAGGATTCAGGGCAAACTTCTGAACATTTTTAAAAAATCACAAAAATTTCTGAAGTTTGTCTTGGGTCACCTTGGACTTCAAGGCCATCAAGATCTGTGATTTAAAATCATCCTGATCTTCAGTAGGACCCTCGGAAGATCAGGATTCAGGGCAAACTTCTGAACATTTTTAAAAAATCACAAAAATTTCTGAAGTTTGTCTTGAGTCACCTTGGACTTCAAGGCCATCAAGATCTGTGATTTAAAATCATCCTGATCTTCAGTAGGACCCTCGGAAGATCAGGATTCAGGGCAAACTTCTGAACATTTTTAAAAAATCACAAAAATTTCTGAAGTTTGTCTTGGGTCACCTTGGACTTCAAGGCCATCAAGATCTGTGATTTTAAATCATGCTGAACTTCAGTAGGACCCTCGGAAGATCAGGATTCAGGGCAAACTTTTGAACATTTTTAAAAAATCACAAAAATTTCTGAAGTTTGTCTTGGGTCACCTTGGACTTCAAGGCCATCAAGATCTGTGATTTAAGATCATCCTGATCTTCAGTAGGACCCTCGGAAGATTAGGATTCAGGGCAAACTTCTGAACATTTTTGAAAAATCACAAAAATTTCTGAAGTTTGTCTTTGGTCACCTTGGACTTCAAGGCCATCAAGATATGTGATTTAAAATCATCCTGATCTTCAGTAGGACCCTCGGAAGATCAGGATTCAGGGCAAACTTCTGAACATTTTTAAAAAATCACAAAAATTTCTGAAGTTTGTCTTGGGTCACCTTGGACTTCAAGGCCATCAAGATCTGTGATTTAAAATCATCCTGATCTTCAGTAGGACCCTCGGAAAATCAGGATTCAGGGCAAACTTCTGAACATTTTTAAAAAATCACAAAAATTTCTGAAGTTTGTCTTGAGTCACCTTGGACTTCAAGGCCATCAAGATCTGTGATTTAAAATCATCCTGATCTTCAGTAGGACCCTCGGAAGATCAGGATTCAGGGCAAACTTCTGAACATTTTTAAAAAATCACAAAAATTTCTGAAGTTTGTCTTGGGTCACCTTGGACTTCAAGGCCATCAAGATCTGTGATTTTAAATCATGCTGAACTTCAGTAGGACCCTCGGAAGATCAGGATTCAGGGCAAACTTTTGAACATTTTTAAAAAATCACAAAAATTTCTGAAGTTTGTCTTGGGTCACCTTGGACTTCAAGGCCATCAAGATCTGTGATTTAAGATCATCCTGATCTTCAGTAGGACCCTCGGAAGATTAGGATTCAGGGCAAACTTCTGAACATTTTTGAAAAATCACAAAAATTTCTGAAGTTTGTCTTGGGTCACCTTGGACTTCAAGGCCATCAAGATCTGTGATT